AACAGACTGAGGTTACATTAAAACAACCTTAAGTTACATTAAAACAACCTTAAGTTACATTAAAACAACCTTAAGTTACATTAAAACAGACTGAGGTTACATTAAAACAACCTTAAGTTACATTAAAACAACCTTAAGTTACATTAAAACAACCTTAAGTTACATTAAAACAGACTGAGGTTACATTAAAACAACCTTAAGTTACATTAAAACAACCTTAAGTTACATTAAAACAGACTTAAGTTACATAATAATATCCTCAACTTTTAATGTGGCACTACCTACAGGGTGTCCGTCCATCTTTAATAAGTCTTAAATTCATGTATCTAAAATTAAGGCCTTAAATTCGTTTTAAAAAATTTAAGTGGGCCTTAAATAATTTTATCATGGCAAAATTATTTAATGTCATATTTTCTAGGTAGTTTATTTTCCGTTACGTTTGAGTTGTTAGCAGTCTTCTTCATTGCGTTCTGTGGCTTGAGGCAGTTGAAGCTACCGCTAACTAGCTGCTAACATACTCTTGCTAGCTCGCTTTTTGTAACGTCTGTCATGGGAAAGTGTAAATTTATCACAAGTTCATCTTCGCCACGGACTCGCATGTATTCAGTGAAGCCCAAAAGAAACTGGAAATTAGAAAACTTTCTTTTAGCACAGCAAGCATCCAAAATCCGTATTAGGGCCATTGTAAGAAAAAAAGAACATTTCTGCAAAAAATATCAGAAATTTCCTAGGAAAAAAAAAAAAAAAATTTGCAAGGGGAAAAAAAAAATGTTTATATAAATTTTTTTTCTCCCAAAAAAATATGGAAATTTCTAGGCAATTTGTGATTAATCACAAAATTTCTCAGTTTTGGTGGGAATTTACTCGTTTTTTTCTATCTACAAAAGCCCTAATGTACCGCCGTAAAAATCTTGATTTTACGTTGAGACTCACCTGCTTTAGGCAGTCAGATCACATCAGAAAGTCCTCAAGGCTAAACTCAAATAAGAATCTGTAGGAGAAAACTAAAATTACTGTTTAAAGATGCTCTCAATCCAATCTGACTAGTAGATGAAAGCAGAGAAAAAGAGGCACTACTTTGTGTTTGACTTTCACGTCAAATCCCAATAAAATCCACAGAACCGTTTAGTTTTGAAGTGACACAATGTGAAAAGTTGAGAAGGTGTGATTGCCTTTTCAAGGCGCTGTAAGTTACGGCATGCATCTCCTGCAAACACGATTAATGCCTTAAAAAACAGGAGCGAGTCGGTGTGACAGAAGTTGGTTTTCTGAACTTTTTTTCATTTTCAGGACAGGAGGTTGCATCAGATGTTTGTGTGTCAGTGTTTGGAAAGGCCTGCCGCTGATTGAAAGTGATGGGACAAGTGGGGATCACAGCGTAGTGGAGCGCGCAGTCAAACCTGCGACGCTCCGAGGGACCGCAGACCCGAAAGACATGAAAGGAGGGCAGAAAATACTAAAACAAAAAGAATTATTCCATTTATCGCTGGAGGGCTGGCGGGAGAGATCCACTTTGAAGTGTCTGCCACTGGTAGAAGGAAGCCGAAGCGAAATGAAACCACCGCGTTCTTCCAGGACATTCGGGTTGAAGCAGAAGAGCTGCGACCTCACAAACACGAACCTGAAACCTGTCCGGGCTCAACACTCACATTTGACACCGTCCTCCTCCTCGATGCCTGTTGGTTTTGATACTGTTGCTAGGGAACCATCCCCAAGGACGCGGCTAGATGGATGGTTGATGTGCAGTTCATATTACAGATGCTAATAGCCTTAAGGGAAGCAAGAGAAAGCTCCTTGTTTCTCAAACACAAGCCACCAGAGCCTCGGTGCTGAGGGAAGCCATTATCATTACCCAAACCTTTTCTTTCTTTCTTTTGTTTTGCTTCAGAGGAGAACAATGAGCAGAAGCCATGTTTACTCATTGTGATTTATCTCTGGGTATTTATGCATCTCATTAAGCAATGATTACCCATCACACACGTCAAGATGCACAAAAACATGTAGCAGCGACAAACTGTGAGAAACACACGGAGGCATTCAGAACATGTCAGCTGTTTATCTTAATATCATAGCGACATGGCAGTTACAGAAAGACAAGAAATGGATATTTAATGAAGTTACGCTGCTTGTTAGAGATTGTTTAGAGCGAGTCAGACACGGGGAATCCAGTCACTACAACAACAATCGGCATAATCGGCCGCCATATGGCAGAAATCCATCAACGGATTACAAAACGTTTGAGCTGCGTTCCATTTAGCCTGGAAGTTGAAATGTGGGTGTGGAAATGACGCTTCACCTCACTCCATCCTGCCAATGTAGGGTGTCCACCCATCCTTAAAAAGATTTAAATGGATGTTTCCAAAATCAAAGCCTGAAAATGTCTTAAATTAATTTTAAAAAATTAATTTGGAATTAAATAAATTAATCACAGGTCTTTATTTATTTATTTTGTATTTATTTTTCTCATGAGTCGCTTTCAAATATTTTGCTTTTGTTCTGTGACTCTGTGCTACATGTGTCAAACTCATGGCCCGGGGGCCAAGTCCGGCCCGCCATAGCTATTTATGTGGCCCTTTGGACTCCAGAGGGACACATAAATAAAACCTTTAACATAACAGCTGTGTACTTACATTTTATTGCATCAATCAGACCAAATCAGTTTTTAAATCTGTATAATGCCAAATTTCATTAGTCTCTCTGAGATTCTGCTATCATGGAAAATCATCAGATCCCTCTTTGCAATAATGCTTAATTGTGAGTTTACTGAAAATTTTCCAACAAAATGGTGAAAAACGTTGTTTGTGTGATGCTAACTCCCACCTGCAGGTGGCAGTATTTCTAACACCATATAACTTTTTTACTAGGCAAACGTATTTTATTGCGACTCAAAAACACAAAAAAAATACTAGAGTTTCAGTTTGAATTGTGCAGCGATGGAAGATCTTCTGGTTACCGTCATTTCATGTCCAAACAAATCAGATCCTGATATCAGAAAAACAGAACAAATCGTGAATTGTTAGATTTGATTGTTTCTTCTTTTTTTTTAAGTTGAAAGTTTAACTTTGGGGAATTTGGTTATTTTTCTAACCTTATAGCATATAAATTTCAACCTTAAAGTGCAAAAGGAACACATCAAACTTTTCTAACTTCCTACTACAGTTAACATAAACAAACGGGAACAGTTGCAGCTTTGGCATTTCTTATTTCTATCCCCCTGTTGGTTCTAGTTTCTAGTACAAACCTTTTATTAGGCTTGAAATAAGACAAAACCAACTTACAAGTAACTTTTCAGCCAGTTAAAGAACTTTTTTTAAGCTAATAATTCCTTAATGTTGATGAAGAACTTCTAGTTCCACTGGCAGATTATTTCACCTTTAATAAAACATTTTCTCATGTTGAAAGTGAAATAATCTGCCAGTAGTACTGATACTTTAAGTGATTATTGGCTTAGAAAAGTTATTGTAAGTTAGTTTGTCTTATTTCAGGATATTTTAAACTAAACCAAAACCACCAGGTAACCGTTACCAGGTAGTTTTAGCGTTGCAGCTGCATTATGCCACAGACGCATAATGTTTCTTTCCCCACTTTAGAAAAAACACAAGGCTCTGCTGCATTTTTACTTATAATTATGATTATTTTTTATCTGACCCGTATCACCTCTACAAACGTGCCGACTAACGCTCCATGTTGCATGACAGAAACAAAAACAAGCTCACATGCATCATCATCATCATCATCATCGCTGTTCATTCATGTCTGAACATGTTTGCTCAGCCTTCATGTATGTTGTCTAACATGCAGCAGGTTTCTGCTCACATAAAGTCACTGATTCACGCGGGTGAACTGAGGCTTCTTCAGTTTAACTCACCACTAATATACCTCATTAATCACCTTGAAGTCCATTGTTTAACGGTTTTGATTTCCTGCTGCCGTCCAACACTTTGTCCTGGGAGTTTTTAATCTGTGTGAGAGGTTTTCTGAGGAGAGGCTTTTTACTGTAATAAGTGGGTTACTGGCTGCTTTCTACTCTTTGTGTACAGAAATAAAACTTTGTATTTGGCAAACTGCTCGTCTGTGTGCGTGTGTTTTCTCTAAGCCCTTTGAGGATTGAATAAAACAACTGAACTCAGAATGAGGCCATGCTGTTTATATTCATTTTATTTAGGTGTCTATATTTGGCTTTAAAGTGGTAAAATCAGTATTTCCTGACTTTGTTTTTCCACTTCCAGCTCTGTTATATAATTGCTTTTTACCTCTGATTTTGACTCTACAGGCTGCCGTCAGTTTATTGGTCCGTCTCCATTTCCTGTCCCTGACTTTGTTCTTTTTGCTGCGTTTCTTGATTGGCGTTTGACCTTCTTCTTCTTCTTGCCTTTATCGTGCCGCGATCTCCTGCTCACTACATTATCTGAGCTGGTGGACGCAGGGTCACCATCTTTATCTGTTTTGTGATTATCTGCTTCAGGAGCCGCGACCCTCGCTGGGTTTTCTTTATCTGACCCCAATTCACTCGTCCTCCCACACGTTTGCTCTTTATCACGACGCTCTGCTTTCAAATCTGGATCTGTTTCTGTTTCTGTGTCGCCCGCTCCTTCAGTCTCAACAGGACGGTGTTCTGCTGGGCTCTCCTGCTCTTCAACTTCATGACTTTCAGTGTTTTTGTTCATCTCAGTGTTTTTTTCTGTGGCTTTCTTGACAGAGTTTGTGTTTTTCTTTCTTACTGCATCCTCGGTCCTGCTTCCAAATGGACCCCACTTCTCCTTTGTGGTTTCCCAATAATTCTTCTTCTGGCCGGCGTGCATTTTGCGGATGTTTTCCCCTAATATCTTCAGCTCCTTTTGGACAAAGGGTTTAAGCTTTGGATCCAGTTTCTCCACCGTGGCAAAGTCTCTTCGAGCCTCATCCTCGTTGCACAAAGCGGCGTGCGCCCGCGCCCTCTGGTGCGTCGCTTTAAAGTTACCTTTGGAGTAGAAATGGGAAGAAATAAGTGGAAATTACAGAAGTACTGAGAGGAGGAAGTAGACAGTAAACGAGAATGGTTCAAAACTATATCTATATCCTTTGAAAGGAGACATAAAATTCACATTTTGCATGTTTTTGTGCTTTCATTTGGGTTTCTACTGTCAAAGTGGTTATAAAAACACCAGATGTTCCTTAGAGATAAATTAATGTTTTTTGGTGTCTGGAAAGTGACCTGAATGTAACGTCAAAAATCAGCAGGTACTGCCCGTTACCTAGCAACCCCAGCAAAACCCAGGCCGTTACCTAGCAACCAGAGTTCAAGCACGTTGGCATGACTTGGTACAATTGAAAAAACCTAATTTACCCCAAAGGTGCAATTATACAACGGCATATTTGTGCCATTGTAGATAGAAAATATAGAGCAAAAACTCAGGAATTTTCTGTAACAAAGAAATTTAGGAGTTTGTGAAGTTGAAAATTTGAGACAAAAACTAAGAATTTTTTTAGATTTTCAGAAATGTTCTAGAAAAAGCAAGGAAACGTCTGAGTTCTAAAAACGGAAAGTTTGTAAGAAAGAAAAAGAACATTTCTGAGCTTGAAAAGTCAAAAACGTTCCACTTCACAAACTTATAAAATGTAAAAAAAATTCCTAGAAAATATGTCAACTTAATTTCAAAATTTCTGACAATTAAAAAATACGAAAGAGGATTAGGATCACTGACAAAAAAAGAAATCTGACGGAGATTAAAGTCAGAATTGAGAAGTTAATTTTTTTCTTTTTCAGTAGCCCCATTTACATAGAGCACACAAAAAATAATACATGCAAAAATACGTATTAAGTAATGTGCAATGTGAATGAAATGGTCCATTCTGCCCCAGTTTCAAGTCTTTGAGCTCCAGCAGAATCAGAAAACCTCAGAGTCCTTCACAGATCAACTGGACTTAACCTGAGACTGAATGAAGCAAACATTTAGCAGACGGACGACCTCTAAAGGCAACTGGCTACACTGGAAAAGAAAAAATATGAAACAGTTTACAGGGCATAAGGATGGCTGTATGGTCCTGTGAATCAGCAGAAATGAAACTCAAAACCAGCACAATAAATTTGCTGACTGAGGCGGAAGCGTCTAAATCGACCAGCAGGTTTGGTGACAGGAAGACGTCTGAGGAATGCTGAGAAAACCAAATGATGGGAAAAGACAAACATAAAAACAGAAACTTCACATCGGCCTCAACTGTAAATAATTCATCACAGAGGAAGCAAAAGGAAAATTCATCTCTGACTGTGATGTCCATGGATTTGTGTCGGAGGAACAAAGAGAGACACCGAATGTTGAATTATATTTTCTCAGTAAACAAAGAGATGAAGACCTTCATATTTTTAACTTGTGCTCCTATTTCTGTATCAAGTAGGATTTTTTGTTCTCAGCTTCCTGCCAGGTGTGACAAACTCTCTTTGATTTTTCACACCAACAAATCGTACCTCTGTGTGTCTTCAGCAGCCGGCTGTTCAGCTCCACCACCTCCTGGTATTGTTTCAGCTCCAGCATGCACTGGCTCAGGTTGAGGCTGAGCGGGAGGCGCACTTTCTCCAGCGACTCCCAGTCCTCGCCGTGTTGATCCACCTGCCGCCGAAAGGCGGTGATGTACGGCAGAGGAAATGTTGAAAAGATTAAACCCAAACAAGAGGAAGTGAACAAATATAGGAAAGGAGTGATGAAGATGATGACTGTGAGGTAAAGGGAAGATAAAGATGGAGCATTTGGGGGCTGCAGGAGAAAGTTGCTGAAGGAGAGCTGTGATAGAGACGTCTCTGTGGATGTCTGGTATTTTTAGCTCGGCTGCTCTTCAGTACAAAAACAGACAGAGCAGATCATCGAAAGCTCTTCAAAGCTGCAAGATGTTCTAAACCACCTTTTAGTTCTTGAAATGAATTTAAATGGTGCGCTGCAAAAACACAAAACTGCGTCTGGGCTTTAACCCCTGAATATGCTGAGAGCGAAACCATTAGATTGCGGCTCTAGTTGCTAAAACATTAAACACTATTTTTGGTCTGGTTTCTAGTGCAAATATCTTAGTACACTTAAAAAAAAAACTAACTTACAAGCAACTTTTCAACAAGATAAAGGATCTTGTTTGAAGTGATATTGATGAAAAGTGACAGATTATTTCACTTACAACATGATAAAATGTCTTGTAATAACTGACATAATCTGCCAGTGGGACCAGCACTTTTTCATTAACATTGAGGAAAAATTTACTTAAAACAAGCAGCTATGAAAAATTACTTGTAAGTTAGTTTGTCTTATTTCAACAGTAATAACATATTTGAACTATAAATTACTTGGTGATGTTTTTAGCAGTGAATGATAATCTCCTGAACAAGCAAGCAGAGTCATAAGAAATGGTTTAGGTCATATTCAGGGGTTAGAATGGCCTAGTCAAAGTCCAGACATAAATATGAATGAGAGTCTGTTACAGGACTTGAAAACTGCAGCTCTGACGATCTCCATCCAATCGGACTGAGCCATTTTCCAAATTACAGTTAAAAATATTTATCCTTATATTTTAAAAACTGATAGATAAGCCCTAAAAGTATTGCAGTTATAACAGCATTAAAATGTGTTTTTTCCTAAATAGTTACACTTTTCAGATTTTCATGCAAAAACATGAGAATAACTTATTTTTCTTCCAGTTCACATTTATTTATGTGGTTAAAAAACTAGCAGAAGTTTGTGATAAAAAAGTGAGAAATATCTAAGAGTATTTCGTCCCATACCTTGTTTTGTAAGAAGTCCACGTATCCCAGAGCCTCCTTGAACTTGGCGGAAGCGTCTGGGAAGCGTTGCTCTTTGATGAGGAAGTTTCCCTCGTTCTGCAGAAACATGACCAGCCGTAACATCTGCTGCCAGTCCTTCCCCTCCATCTCTTCGCAGGCCTGCAGCTCCTCTGCACGGCTGCTTTCTTCCTCCTTCGCTCCCTCAGACGGCCGAACCTCTTCTTCTCCAGATTCTGCTTCTTCAACACGTCTCATCTCAGATGAACCGGTTTTCTCTCCTGCTTTGCCACTTTCAATGTCGCTTTCTTTCTTTTTTGCTCCTTCATCTTTCTGCTCCTCTTCATCTTGTTGCTCTTCCTCCTCCTGTTTACTGGCGCCCTCCGTTTTCTCCAGCATGTTCCAGTACTGCTCCTTCTCCTCCCAGTACTTCTCCTTCATGCGCTCCGACAGCTCCTTCAGCTCTCGGCGAACCAGCGCAGCCAGAGAGATGTCCAACTGGGCCACCGTACTGAAGTCTCTCCTGGCCTCCTTCTCGTTCCACACGGCGGCGTGAGCCTTGGCCCGCTTGTAGTAGCCCTTCACGCAGTCTGAGAAGGAGGAATTCAAGCGGTTGTTTAAATCATGTTTTTAGTATTCATATGGAAGTAGAAATACGCTCTGTAGATGCTGAGTTTGCAAAATGCAGATTCAGCTTATATCTCTAACGTGTCAACATTGGATTTATCTGAAATTAGGTGTTCATGTCATTCAGGCAAAATAATTTTAGCTCTTTTTAAGTTTCTGACAAATGACTTTAAAGCTGCAGTATCTAATTTATATATATATATATGTTGAAACTCACTATGCTGTTAAGATATAAGACAGATAATCTGTGAAAAAAAATGGTACCAAATGGTGTCGGGGGGCCAGGTCTTAGTGCTGTCAATCACCCCTCCATGTAGCGCTGCTCATACCCCTTTACTGTAGCTAATGGTGTGTTCACTACAAACGTGTTTTGACCGTCAGACATGTCAGGTTTCCATTCGTCTCTGTGGCGGCGTGGCCAAAGGCTGCGGCTATTTGAAGCGTTTCACATCCAGGATGTTCAGAGCAAAATGTCAAGGGTCTGACTTCAAACTGCACACGGGTCGAACTTGAAGCGTCGGACATGTTTGTGACGTGCTAAACACTTTCGGTGTGAACGCACCATAAGGCTGGTTAGCTTGGCCACTGATTACGGGGTTTTTTCTGTAATGGTAAGTTGTTTCTCCACCATTGTACTCATTTAACAGAGTACATGAGTTTGATTGACAGCACTAAGACCCGCCTCCTGCCTCTGATTGGTTGTTTTTCTTTAGACGTCAGTAGTAGCTCAGAGAGGAGGAGGAGATCGATCTTTTAAAACTCCTGTTTTGTTTTCTTATTCTGTTTAAAACAATGAGGTTCAGTATTAATGGAAAAACTAGTTATTGAATAACGAACTCATCGTCTCTCATTATCATTTAAAAGCACAGTTAGTTTGTAACTCCAGGTGTTTTGAAATGAATCACATGGTGCTTATAAAACCTCCTTATGACCAAAGTTTGCAGGGATGTTAAAAATAAATCAGGGATTAAAATTGTAATTCTGTGTCTTTAAAAATGTCCAATTAATTTTAAATCGGCATTTTATAAATATATTATTTCATGAATTTGCAGAAATACAAAATAAAGACATTTCTTGCTCTGTTTCTGTAGAAAAAAAAAACACAAAGAGAATCTGCAATATGTAGAAGCACCATGAACATATTTTTAGGTTTGCAGAAACATATTTAACTTTTTCACTCTTCGTTAACTAAACTAAGATGACAAGAAGCTTGTAATTTACATTAATCATGCAATAAAAATAAATTATCAGTTTTTAACACCAGTTTGTAAAGAAACGCTGCGTTCTCGCATGGCGGTGCCTCTGTCTTCGGGCTAGATTCACTCACCGATGCTTTTTCTGTTCCTCAGCATTTAATTTCTGTCTATGCTAAATTTTTATTCAGCCAACAGTTAAACAGATTTCACTGTCGCCGCCGGCAATGGCAGAAACACTGCAGCGAGCCTGCCGTTTCCACAGAGCTGCTGCGCTGAGGGGATGAAACGGGAGACTTAAAATTCAGCAGACAACATGACACTGACGACAGGAGAAACAACAACACGGCACCAACTCAGAGGAGGATGAGGAGGCGATGAAAGGCTGCGGAAAAGTGACAAAAATGAGCTGGAGAAACAGCAGGAAGACATAACACCGCAATAATGAGATTTAAACGTCGTAAGGGGAGCGGCAGAGACGTTTTAAGCTTGACCAGTGGAGTGCGAAAACGCTCCCCTGTAAAGCACATTTCAACAGTAGCATCACATTTTGTCAGGTTACAGCCACAAACTTCAGTGTGTTTTACTGGGGTTTGTATTTTTATAAGTTTTGTATGTATTTGGAGTAAAATAAAAATGACACAGATCTGATTTTATGGAAGAGAAGAAAAAATATAAAATGTTCTGTTTGACGTAAAGCGTGCTGGGGATGCAGAAGATGCTCTGGTCGCATCAGACTGAAAACACTGTTCTGACAGAGAAAAGCATGATGGGATGCAGGTCAGAGTTCATAGGAGAATAGATGGGAAATATAACATGTCGGTCCGATAAATAAAACTGGGCCAATGTGAACAACAAATATTTATTTTTATCTGTTTCTGGTTGTTGTCTTTTCCCACAGGTGCAGAAATGGTAGTGAAATATATATAGTATTGGTAAATATCGGTTATAGGTCGTAACAGAAATATTAGTACTGGATATAGATATCGGCCCACATTTCGTATCGATGCATCCCTAAATATTTATTTAAAACAAGCTCCTGTATCCAGCAGAACAATTAACTGCAAGTTAGTTTTGTCTTATTTGAAGTGTAATAAGATATTTGCACTACAAACTAGACAAAAACTAATTGGTAAGATTTTTAGAAGTAAGAAATAATATCCTGAACAAGCAACCAAAGTCACAAAAAATGGTTTAGATCTCAACATAATCAGGTGTTAGAATGGCCTAGTCAAAGTCCATTTTATAAATATAAATGAGAGTCTGTTCCAAGGCTTGAAAACTGTAGCTCTGACACTTTTCATCCAGTTGGATTGAACCATTTTACAAAGAATGGTTAAAAATATTTATCTTATATTTGAGTCAGGGCTGTGACCTGATAAAATGTGATGCTACTGTTGAAATGTGCTTTACAGGGGAGCGTTTCACACTCCACTGGTCAAGCTTAAAACGTCTCCACAACCCTACTTAAGACGTTTAAATCTTATTATTGCGGTGCTATGTCTCACACTTTCACCTTCCTGCTGTTTTTAAATCAACACTTTGTAGGAAAATGGTTCTTCAGCAGAGACAGGAATGATGGTCAAAGTTCACGGGAGGATGGATGTAAAGATAGGACATTTTTTCTATTTAGAGGCTGTAGAAAAAAAAAACCTTCTAGGACAAATACCATAAACATAGGACAATGACAAACAGGTCTGGTGGAGCCAGCTTCAGATTGTCAGAAAAAAAAAAATCTAAACTATCGTCCTACCACTTCCTGTCAGCTTCTTTGATGTTTCCTCCAGTAGTAACGTCCAGCTGTTGACTTCTGTGATGTGAAAAAATGGTTTCCAATTCAGTTTTGCAAAATATATCCATTTCCAAATGGCTGAAGAATCACCTCATTGTGGCATGTTTTTTTTAAAAATGTTCATATGAAGCAAATTTGTTTCCTTAATTTCAATTTGCACAATTCTGTGGTTACTGGAAAAGCAGCTAGTGGAAACCAGTTGAGTGCAGCTGCATGTTGACAGTGAGCCTGGGCAACTTAGGGATGAACCCAGAATAAATACAGAGACATTTAGTTCTTATTTAAAGCTTAAAAGCACAACAAAACCATAACACAAAGCAAACACCAGGAAAACTACTGAATAAACCAAGTGTAGAAAAGACTCGGCTCGTTACAAAGTCACAGCTGCAATGATTGGTTTAGATCAAAGCTGATCAAAGTAGGACTGGCCTAGTCAAAGTTCAGACTCAAATCAAAAAGGGAATTTGTGGCTAGACTTGAAAGCTGATATTCACAGCAGCTTAAGCTATAGTGCATCAAAGAGTGGGCAAAAATCTCAGTCTTTAGATGAATAAAGCTGGTGGAGACAAATCCCAAAAGATTTTCACTTGCAGCGAAAAATAGTTCTGCAAAGTTTTGACTCGTGGGGCTGAATATATATATACGCATGCTACCATTTTCAGTACTTATTTGAAAAAGAGTCATGCACCCTTTTCCTTTATGCACTTCTTTGTTTTGGTCTGTCACATAAAATCCCACAAAATAAGCAGAAGTTTGTGGTAGTAGTAAGAGAAAGTGTGAAAAAGTGAAAATCATGCCTTTAAGATCACTTATCCATAACTGCAATTGTCTGGTACATAATTATTGACTTAACCTACGATTTTCATTCATACCAAAATATTATCACATGCAGTAAAAGTAGGGGAGCACCAAAGTACATTAACTAACACAGAATAATCAAAAAAAGCATAAAACTGTCTCAGGGTAAGCATAAAAAAGCATAAAATTCTGTCTCAGGGTAAAGGGGGAAACTCGTGAGGCTCTGAAGTGGCGGCTGTGCCAACTTGCAAGGCTCCTCTCGGCTTATATGACCAGCCATGAGTGTGACAGTGCAATTCCCATTTCTGCTCCAGCAGTAAAACCTGCGGTAATGTCAACCTCATGTCCTCCTACGCACTCTGTCACAACGAACAGCTGCAGAATCCTGCAGCTTCTCACAGAAAGTCAAACATTTTAAAAAATTTAGCTGAAGTAGCTTAACGCAGGTCTGGACTGGCTCTTTGTTTGATGGATCCTTCATATGAAAGAAAATCGTTTTCCAGGAATTGAGGTGGATTTAAACTAAGAATCTGATCATTTATTAACTAAAACAACCTTAAAGAACACTAAATTCTCCGTTATATCTGACACTTGGCAACAGTGCTACCAAGTTGCTGCTATGCAGCCAATGTCTTTCTGCATGTTCTCCCTGTGCAGGTTTGGGTTCTCTCTGGATACTCCAGCTTCCTCCCACAGTTCAAAACCATGAAAGTCAGTGTGGTTCATTTACGCTACAGTTCGTCTACTGAAACTAACAGGATTCATGTTTTTCACAGATTCTTTCATACAGACCAGATTTTCTGCACCAGTGAACCTGTAACGACCCTGTTATTGGTTTCTATATCGACTTCTCTTGCACCACGATTAGCAGGTGCCAGCTACCTAACGCTCCAGTCAAAGCGTTATTCTCTAATTCATTAAAACTAATCCTGACCTGCTGGTCACATCTCAGTTTCTGTCAAAAGCACAAAGATCACCAAGCTTGACGAGTTTCAGTGCTTACAGCTCACTTGCTGCACAACAATCTCCACATCTTGACAAGTGTCAACTGTAATAGGATAATCAATTATGGCATACATAATGACATTAGTGTAGTTACATTACTGAGTCTCAAAAGCCTTTGCATTTTTATAATTTCTTCTTTTTTTGCCTCGAGGATTGGTGCATAATACACTTTGAGCCCTTTTTGGTAACAGTGGACTTTATAATAATAATAAACGTCAATGTCATTTCTATTTTTTTGCACTGGAGAGCTTCTTCCAATGAAATGTTTATATTTAAAACAGGGCAGTCAAATGTGCAGAGATCTTGTTATTGTATTTAAATCAATAAATATAAACTTGGGTAACATGCAGAAAATAAAACCCTAGTGAAGGTCATTACTAGGAAAGGCTGTCATGTTAAACAATACTGAGAAAATCTGCTTCAAAATGTCAACATTTCTGTAATTCAGATCCAGAAACAGTGTTTCAGTCACAACTTCATTACAGTTGACTTTAAGTGGTTAATAAACATTAAAAAGAGGCCTTAAACTATGTTTGAACGTTAAAACACCAAAGGAACTCCGATAAGAAATTGTATTTTCTTTGTTTTTTTGAGCACATCAGTAGCCTTCAGCTTAGAGGACAGCAAGCATATGGTGAGATTTGCTGGTTCACATCTCTGGAGTGAATAATAACCTCACACTGTTAAACCACCTCAATGCACAAGATTAACCGAGGAGCCTCCGATGCAGCTGCTAACCTCAGAGGTACAGCGACACAGATGTGGGAGTGTGGAGCTTGGTGACGCAGGAAAAAAAAAAAAAAGAAAAACGAAGATGGAAGAAAAGACAGATTACATTATGTCATTTCTTCCTGGAAGAGATAAATTTGTGATTCCCACATTTCCTAACATGAACCTTGCAGCGGTATTTCCTCTGTCCTTTGTTGTTACCTTTGTGTTTCTCCAGCAGCTCCGTCGTGTGCTCTATGACTTCGTAGTACTCCTCCAGCTCCAACATACACTGGCAGTAGTTCAGCTCCAGGGGGACAATCATTCGCCCCAAGTTAATGTAGTCTACATCACCTGGCATCTCCTAACACATGCAGAGACGGGAGAAAGAAAACAGGACATGGCCATGGTGCTGCTGTCACTCTGCAGTTCCTCGTAAAGATGAATAATTTACTTGAACTTGATTTGTCTGGTGGGTTTTTTTCACTGATTCAAACAACAGAAGGATTTGAAACGGTGACCAAAGCAAAAACATCTCCAGAAAGTGACCCATGATGCTTCCTTCCAGGTTAGAGTAGGTCTACAAAATTACATTTTTAGTTCAAAATCATTCTTAGGTAATGAAATTTCATTTTGATCTACTTTCAGAATTAGGTATTTTTCCTGTCACTTTAAAGCCAAATAGTCTGCTGCTGGCCACTCCCCCCAACTCTACATTTACAGTCGCACGTGAAAATGGCTGCAAACAGATTCACAATTATACAACCGTATATCTTTGAAAAGCAAAAGTGGAGCCTCCTGCACAACCAACAACAATGCAGCAAGTGGTTTCTGAATGGTAAGTCAACAACAAAACACTTGTCTTTTCCAGCAGCCATTGTGCAGCAATAAAACCAGCTGACCAAATGGGATAGAGGTCAGCTAGGGTTGCTGTGCTTCAACATTCATGAAAGTGTTAAAAGACAGAAAGGACATGTCTAACCGTGATTTATCCCCATCCTTTACTCACCCTGGACTGCACTGTTTTTAGCAGCAGGACGGCTTCCTTGTACTTGCTGGCAGCCTCTCTGAATTGTTTCTGCCTGACCAGAGCGTTGCCCTGCATGTGGAGAACGGGCACCGTCTGCAGCTTCTCGTCCTTCTCCATCATCCACGACTCTCTGTGGTAAGACAAGGGGTCTCCTACCTGGGAGCAGCAGGGGGAGGAGGAGAACGCAGCAGGATAAACATGGAGCAGAGCAGAAAAAACCCTCCAGCAATGGAACGACACAGTCATCCAAAAGTATCTGGAGTTATGTTTTATAAATACATCTCATTTAGATATTTGTAAATGTTACTGCAGATGAGTGTTACAAGTTTGCTAACTTTTCAACAATTGGCTTAATAAAATGCTAATAAAAATAGTGCGGAAGAAATAATTGAATCTCTTCTTCTTTAAGTCTTTGCGCTCTACAAAACAATACCAATGTTTAGCACTCTGGACTGCAGCGATCTGAGTTCAAGTCTCTGTAGAACCTTTTGTCTCTGCTAATGACATCTTCAATACATTTTTTGATCCCAGGCTTAGTTTATGGACTGTAATGTGAAATTAGGCACAAGTATAAGTTTGACAGTTTGTTCACCAAGTTACTGTGCTCTCTGAGAGGATCTGTAAGTATTTGAATTTGTTTTATGCCCATCGTTATCAGTCTCTAACAAAATGTGGATCATCTACCAGGAACAGTGGAAAGAGCATGAGTTTCTGTAGTGTAGTGGTTATCACGTTTGCTTCACATGTAAAAGGTCTCTGGTTTGAAACCAGACAGAAACAAATTTTGCATGTTCTATTCATCACAGGTGTTTACTAAAGGTCAACATGGGTTCTGTGATGTCATGGTCTGTACTCTGAATCCAGGCATCTGAGTGCAAACCTCAGTTGAAATTTTCATGCATTGCATCTCACATCATCAACTTTGCAACCTTAAACTGAAACAAAGCAGAGAAGTTCAGTTCCTGTAGTGTAGTGGTTGTCACGTTTGCTTTACATGCAAAAGGTCTCTGGTTCAAAACCAGACAGAAACGGTTTTTTCGGTTATGCATCTCTTGGGGTGCAGTGAGACAACAAGAGCCTTCCTCTTTCGTGATGGTTCA